ACTTGACTCTTAACATAGCCAGCCCCACGGAGCTCCACTTCAGCCAGCATCTGCAACCATTTCTTTCTGACTGCCAGGCAGAGGATGAGAGGTGAGGACAGAGCAGCGCTGTGAAACTGCGACTGGGGGAAGTCCCTGGAAAACTTCTAGGGTAAAAACCAGGGGGCTGATCTGGCATCATCCCCTCCCCTTATGCACGCACTACACCTGCACGAGGTGAGTAGAAAACACTAGCAAAATGAGACATTTTTATACCGTTTTGCACAAGTGAAAAGATAACAGAATACATAAGTGGAAAATGAGCCAGGGTATGAGTACTTAAAAGCTTGGGAACTGAAAAGGTTTTAGCTGGCATGGGGGCCTTTCTGCTGGGGAAAAGGAACAGTTGCCTGGCTAACAGTAAGCAGAGTTGGAGGAACCAGATTTTAAGGGAATGCTTCAAGTGTCTAAATGTAGGCAGGTAGTGTTTTCTAGATGTCTTAAGACATCCAAGCCGTCTGCAACGTAAGGGATGATAAAAAAAAATATAGACAATCCATCTAACCCTCTGGAGCAGCATCTGGAGGCTGGAGTAACCTCAGCACATCTGGAATAGCACCAGATATCAGGCATTTAGACACTGGAGTCCTTGGTGTTTCTCCCTAAACTCAGAACTTCATTTCTTCTCCTGACCTAAACATGGGAGATGATCTCCCATGGCTGGTTACTGACATTCGCAGACTGAGAACTAGCTGAGGATAAAAGGTCAGCTGGTGGGTTTGACTTGTTGAAGAATTGTGACAAAGCCCTACTTAACCATGGACATGGGAGTAGGTCATAGAGAGAATATATTTCTGGCTGTTGGTAGGGGGCTTTCAAGGGTTGGGGAAGTTCTAGACCAACAGTAAGTAGGAATGGGGAGGAAGGCAGCTCTGTGGGGTGAGCAGGGAAGGGATGGAAGAGAGAACTGCTGCAGACAGCACACCGTTAAGCACATGGCTTTGACTGCTGCTTCAACAGGGCAGTGCCCATATCCGGGCATTAGCAACCATTTCGCTTACAGCCTTGTAAGGTGGTACAATGTATTTCCACATCTCAGACATGAAGTTCCTCAGGGGAAAATTCAGAATCTGATTACCATGCAAATCCAGCTGGGATGCAGCTCTCTTACTTACTTCCCCCATCCCCCAATCCTTCCTTTCTCTGCCTAAAAATTACTTGGGTGTACAGCCATACTTTTCCATATTGCCTCCCATGTATGTATCTACCTCCCAGAAGCATTACTGGACTTGTGCAGATGGGTATACTCCCTTAGGTCTCTTAAGTCCACACCCTGAACTTGCCTATCACGTACTGGATCAAAGAGACAAGCAACATTCAGATCATGATTATGATCTGTCAATTCTTATTTGATGATTATTTTATGATTCAGTAGTTCTGTTGACTTGCACTCTCGAAATGATCACCTTTTTCACTGGATTGTTTGCATGATATTTAATTGCGATAGTTTTATTTATTTATCTATTTATTTTTAAAAGGCTAATTTTTCACAGCAACTTAAAAGATAAATTCAGGTTCAAGATAAAAAAATTAATCTATTAGGTTGTGATTTTGCATCCTTTATGGCTTTGGCAGTTTTTTCTTAAGGAGAAGCATAAAGATATTCCCTTAGAGCCTATCTCCAGAGTGAATTGCTCATTGTAAAACCTGCGTTAGTCTTTTTCACAAAGGTTACCATTAAAAAAAGATCACGTGCATCCACATTACTACATTTGGCATCCCAGAATCAAGACCACAGTACGTTAAGCTCTACATTCTGACAATTGCTGCTAAATGTTTAGTTTTTCAATCACAACCACTGTGGGAGCCTTTTTATAATAGAGGAAATTTAAATACCACGTAAAGAGATCAAAAGATGAATCAGCAACTTATCTGAATCACAGTAGCCCCAGATAAAGTCTGCCACGTTGCCGTAAATAGATTACCACAAGTAATGTATGTAAAGAGTTGATTGTGGAAGGAATCTCACATCCTACTGAAAATTCGATATATACCAAACTCACCAAAGATTTTTTCAATGGTTAAAAGCTTTGCATATATAGCTGTGAGTACAAGGAAACCATTGTAAGGTATTTAGACAGGAACAAAAGAAAATACAGGCACTTCCATAGCTTTGCTGTTGCCTACCCCCTCTACTGTTTTCCATATTTCACTGCCTTTGCATATATTATTTTAACTCCAACACATATAATGCAAACAGATTTAATCCTAAAGGCATTTGCAGCTTGAATTTCCTACATAGGGATCGTAAATCTAGAATGGGAAGCCTGAAATCGTTAAAGTCACGTATTTATAAAATCATATTCAATTAGGTTAAAAAAGTGCAATTTCTGTCATCATGTCATAAAAAGATGTGTTTTTCTCTCAGATCTACTATAAAGAAAAGCGCCCTATATTGTTACAGATAGAGGCTGTTTTCAATCAGTTACAAGGAGCAATCCAATTACTGGATGGTTTAGTGCAGTAACTGACTCCAGACTAATTTAATTTCTTTAGGTCTCTAAAGATCAATTGATCTGATTTGTTTCCCTCCCCAAAGGCTGTTTAGGAAAAAGCAGGCTTAAATACCTGGAAATAAAATACAAAGCTCTGTACACTTTCACACTACTTGGGTCATTTGGAAAAACTGGAACTCACAATAAATGAGTGCTCTTTTGGCCCGAACATCACGGGATGCTTTACGGGAGACCATCAGCATCACCGCACAGCACTGCACATTATACATGCATGCGCTGTACGGAGGCCTGCTTAGGAAGCAGTGCATGGAAGGTATTTTCACAGCTTCTAGATAAATATTTAATTTTCAAGAACTGTGCAAATGTGTGTTTGGCCTGCATAGTCTTTTCCCTAGCAAATAAATATTTTTCTCAGAGAGTGATATTATAGGAATAACTAAGTTTCCAACTACACCAAGCAAGAGTCAGGCTGTACTATTCAATGTGTCACCTACATCTTGTAATGCATGTCCCGATGGACATCAAGCAAGAAATTCTTCCTGTTGTCGTATGTCACTTGGCTATTTCTTTTGCTTTGTATCAGATTTCTTTAAGCAATTTTGCTGGTGCTAAAATGAAATCTGTAGAACCAGTGGGCACTCAGAATGACCTTCTCATCTGCCTGAATATTTTGATGCTGGAACTGAAAAAAAAAAACCCTTGGTATTTCTGGACCATATCAGATAACTTAGGAAATTCTCAAAGTCTCTTACCAGCCCTCTTGTCTGTTACACTTTTACTATCTCGTTACCTGATGTGTTGTGCAGCAGGTTTTGGTTTTTTAAATACTGTTGTTCCCTGATCAGGGCTAAGCTTTCCCATTTAAGTCAAAATAAGACCTTACCCAAACTTGGACTCTCAAATCCAGAGTTTTAATGTCATTTCAATACTTGTCACATTCTGTTTCTTGTATTTATTGTAGGTTTCACATTTGGCTACCTTATCTTTCAAAGCAACGTTCGTGCCTGGGCTAAGCTGCCTGTCTCAGTCTCTATTCTTACACTTATCAATAAACAAAAGGGCACTGCGGTTTATGCTCAGCATTTCTGACTCCATGCCATGTGCTGTTATAATAAGATGTCCTCTGGAAAAATTCCCTTCATATCCAGCACCACGATAGTTGGTTCATCTGCACAGAGGTAACTAAGTTTTTCTCCCAGCTTATCTATTCAGACTCTCTGAGCCCTTGCAAAGCTGTGTCATTAGATATCGCCTGTCTGTAAAACAAGGAAACTGAAATGTGAAAAATCAAGGCAAGCAGGCTATGCTATTTTAATTAAATCTGCTTTGGTTTTTTTCTGATTTTCAACTAAGACTTTCAGTTAGGAAGCAACTTTTAACAACTTTGCAAGTGTGCACTGCAGTCTTGCTTTCCCAAATTACCATTCTTTCACCCGGTTATTCAATGGATCACTAATGATCCAGTAACTAGTAAGTTATAAAATATACCACTATTTCCCAGCCATGGACCTGCTTAGATTGATGTACTTTTGAAATGCTGTAAAGACCTCCTCTAGCAGTATGGATACGACTTCATTGAGCAGTTTGTCCCCTATATGCACCCGTGAAAGATGATTTACAGATACACCTGGATATCCCCACATAGGAGCCTAGAGGGTTTTGGCCTCTCCAAACTTTCTTTCATGATCGTGTGCTCAGAGGAAAATTTGGATGTGCTATATCCATCTCCATCAAGTTCTCTTCCAGTCTAAAGGACGCAGGCAGCTTAATTTGCTTCATTTGCCAAACTATTTGACACGATACCATAAAAATGTGATGTGCTGGAGAGCTACCAAGAGATTGAAGTTTATTTCCTACTCAACTGTGGGTTAATGCTTCTGTCCCTATGGCAGCAGTTGCTTATAATGAGCTGTACACACACAAAACTCAACAGTTTCCAGATAAAGCTTTCCCCTGATGCAGCCTGCAGTACAATTTCAGTGAAACAAAAATGGTATCTTTGTCGTCAGGGTGGGAGTTATGGGATTTGTCCTGATGGCAACAATTGCTGACTTCAGCGTCTGGGACTGCTGAAGTGTATTTTGGGAAGCTCCCCTCTCTCTTTTCCACTGTGTGGAGCAGTGGGGAGCTATAAAGATGTTTTTCACAGGACCACTGCCCTTGTTTCCCAGTGACCCAATTCACAGCTCTCAATAGGATTAAATGTCATGATAAGAAAAAAGCTTTTCATTCTGAAGTTGTAACACTGACCCTCTCCCCGCTTCAAGAAGCCCCCTCAGGAAGATGTATATATCAGCCCCAACTGGAACAGATGTCAAAACTCAAAACAGCTCTTTCTTCGTAATGTTTATAAGTATTTTTAAAGGAGGTGGAGGAGGCTTACTATATGCAACAAGATAACATTAAAATGCACAGCTTCTCAGGAGTTGAAAGGATGCTTTTCCTACAAACTCTCTCTTCTCTTTATCTTATCTGCATGGAAAGTAAACAGAAAGCCCCCATTACCTCTCGATATCAGTGAGTCTGGAAGAGTCCCGGAATCCTTTAGCAAAAGGGTTGCTGTCAATTTTCAACTTGGTTATCTGGAAACACAGAAAAGAGCAACGCAACATGAATATAGTGTTAAGGTATTGCAGCGTACAAAGTGTTAACCAATCCATCCTCCTGACTTCGCTGCTAATTTTATCCATGCTCCTTGTGTGTGTGTGTGCACGCTACTCTTGAGATGCTGCAAAGCTGGGGAGGCAAACCAGGGTGTATTACACATATGTCAATGGAAAGACTGAAGGGCACAGTGGGCTCAGCCTTTCTGTTACCCAGAGCATGAGGAACCCACCCACATACAACATTACTGTTTCCAAATACTTTAACAGCATGAATCAGGTTGTCTTTTCCACAAGCAACGCTCAGCACCCTGCTAACATCTGACACTTGGTGGTGGAGCTGCACATCAGCTAGTCTGAGACCAAACTAGGAGCCACTGCCTGCAAACCTGAAGACAGCGCTTCAGTTCATCCCCACCTCTTTTTTTTGGTTTGTTTTTGTTTGTTTGTTTGGGTTTTTTTGTTTTTTTTACTGCGATGCAAATGTTCTCAGTCAGACCTACCAGCCATCACATAGGGGCAATTTAAATGTTTTTGCATGGAAAGAGGCTGAAGAAGGGAAGGAGGGGGGAAAAATGTGAGGAGAACTCAAATTTAAAGTGACAAAGCCTGGGTTAAAGGAGTAACCCCATTAAAACCATCACAGTCATGGAAAAACAGAGGTCTTACAACCAAAACTCTCCTCCCTTCTTCAAATGCAGCTACAACCCACCCAGTGCATCCTGTCAGCCTTTGCATTCAGCCACAGTGACCCACTGATCAGGAGTCGCTCTGTGACTGCTCCAAAGCATCAGGGTTCACCTTAACTTTGCAGTCAGACTTTTCAGGCATAGGTGGTAGTTTCCACTGTGGTTTTTCTGGGAGCAGGAAAAAAATACACCATTGCCCTTGTGAAATTTTCTAGCTGTCCAACCAAATGAGATTTGGTGAATAAAACCTGAGACATCATCATAATATTCAGATTTTCCAGCCATACTTCTTCCAAGAATTAAAAATAAAACTCTAAGTGGGAGTTGGAGCTTGACGAGGAACACACAGGACCTGTCCTGCAAGGCAATGAATGCCACCAACTCTAGTTGAAGCCCATGAAAATCAACAGCTCTCAGCATTTCATACTGAGTGGCTATGTCAGCCTGGCTTTCCTCAAAAAAATCCTGTATTGCAGAGGCCACAACCTCATTTTTAATAGCTGGCCCTCAAGACTCAGAAAGAAAAGGGTTCTATTCCAAATCCTCAAATGCTCAGATGCTCTCATCAGACAAAGGTATTTCAAAATAGGGTGGCTTCTCCTCCAAAATTAAAAAAAAAAAAAAAAAAAAAAAGAGGACAACTGAACCCAGCTTTTCATTCTGAAGAAAGAAATCGTCTGGGAGGGAAACACAGAGAGGGAAGGACAGGCTTACAAAGACAAAACCGGAGCATTTAATTACTGGTCTGCAGTATATGAACGATGTGCTGAGCGGCTGCTCCTGCAGCTGCCACCCACCTGCTCTGCCACCTTGGAAAACTCACTGCACCCCTGGGCTGCTGCCTTCCCTGCCCAGCATTTCAGGTCCATACAGGGGCAAGCTCTCTGGGGAAGGTCCTTGCTCTGAGGCACTGTGTAGGAGGTGCTGCAGCTCACTGGTTGTTCCTATGGGCTGGTCAAACAGCATGGGACCTCAGCGCTGGCTGAGGGTTTGAGGCTGTCTCATCATGCATGTACAACTGGTGGAAACTACCCTAAACACTAGCCTTGTCACAGGACCTTGTCAAGGCCAGGTCGGATGGGGCTTTAAGCAACTTGGTCTAGTGGAAGATATCCCTGCCCATGGCAGGAAAATTGGAACTAGATGATCTTTAATGTCCCTTCCAACCCAAACCATTCTATGACCTTGCAACAGCTGAGCCAGTTAGTTATAGTCTTATCCTACTCCCAAGATATCCATAAGCCCTTGACTCATGGTGATGTTGCAGAGAATAGCAGGTTAGTGCCTCACGTCCAGCAAACATTTTTATGGCAACATTTTGAAAACTACCTTGAAAAAAGACGAGCTCTAACTAGTTCCATTGACTTAGATCACCAACACACCAAGCCAACTGCGCTGCAGAATAATAAGGACATCTATTCATCTCTCGAGCATATTTTCACCAATCAAACTTCCATTTTCCTAATATTAAAGATTTGGTATGACATCACAAGAGAAACTTTTTGTATCCACCAAAGCCAGATGAGACTCACAATCATTTATGGCCATATTTTTCCGGAGAGACTGTCTCACAAACAATCAGAGAACATCTGCTAGAAAGCATTTTAAAATGAAATCTGACCTACAATTCAACTCTGTGGCAGTGGTTTGACTGTTTGAATAAATGCATGCCCTTTAAATCTTAAATTATGAGATAGTTTGTTGAAAGTGTAATGTATTTAGCTTTTATCTAATAACCTCCAGAAATGTAATCAACCCCTCCTTAAAACAGTTCTGAAAGAAATGGCAAAAATGAAAAAAGGCTCCATTTTCATTAGTCATAAATAAAATGACAGCATCAACCTCTAGGGGTTCCGGAGATGTTCCATTGAGAAATTTTCCAGGACTCAATGTATGTGCTTTGGGAAGGTTAGTTTAGAAACATCTCTGGTGTAAACATCGTCGGTAAACACAAATCCATCCTACAGAAATAAATTCCAGGTTTAGCTGGTTTTGTGCCTGTTACTATTTTGCTGGTTTCTACAGAAATTTAAGTGGAAAAATGTAACTGCCTGTCCAAACATTATGTTCTTGAGATTGCCAGGTGCTGAATGCATTTTCTGCAGCATTCAGATACAAACCTGAGTTTAAAATCAATATTTCTGATATTAAAGCCTTAAAGCGGGATGTGGGGTCTGTCATAAGGACCAACTTAGTACTACTACTGTTATCTTCAGAGCTTCTTTGGCCCCCTATGCAGTAGTTTCATGTTATTCATAGCATTTAGGAATTAATTACTTTTGCTTCATATTAAGAAATGCAGACTTCTTTAAATAATCCAGCAGGTACATTGACTCTGTGATGCTGCCTGCCTACGTGTTTGGACACTACTTATATTTTTCTTAACTTAGGGGAATTAGAGGGGGAAAGAGATTTTTTTTTTGAAGTGCCATAGTCCTTAAGCCCTTAAAGCACACTCTGAATCACACTGAAGCCAACATTATTTCCACCGACTTAAATATTAAAGCCCTATCCACTGTCAAGCAAACCCTCTGCTCTCCGATTGTTTATATACTTCCTAAAATTACTCATTAGCAATCCATTGTTATGATCTCCTCCATTTTGTATATATTATTCACTGGCATGCAAATTGAAATTCAAACATCTGGATGTAATCTGGGCAGCCTCTGAAAAGCATATCTCTGAGTGATTTCCCTTACGTTTGAGCCTTACAGCTTAATTAGTCAACTTTTTAAGCCCATGAAATCATCATGTGCAAACCAGAATATCTCTCAGCTAATAGCTTGTGGCATGAAAGATCACTGCAAATAAGAACAGTTCCTTAATGAGCTATAATTAGAAAAGGACTAAATGATAATATGCAAACAGCTTTGTACAGGCAGAAGGGAAGACAAATTAAAGCCTCTTTCATATCATCTTTACTCCCATGAGTAATCCTTGTGGCCCTTTGACATTAGTAATAGTACCTGTATAAGTAAAGAATTACTCCTGAATATGAATTAGATTGGGCAATGTCACTACAGACATTGGTATGAAAGGTAGGTTACATCAGAAAGTTTCCTAGTTTAGATTGGGGAAAAGTGAGTTTTCAGCAGGGTGGCATTTAGTTAAATCCATGGAAATTAGCAACTGTACTCACCAATTGATTCTGGTAGGCAGTAACAGCTGTAAAAACTGTCTCTGGAAAGATAAATGTCCTGAACTCTTCCGACTTCAGATTTAGCAAAGAAGCCGTGTGATCCTTCTTCTTAATAATGTGGACCCTTGGCTGGTACTTGTGCATGGAGTTCAAAATGATCTGCAAGAAAGAGTGACAAGGCACTGTCCCAAGAGGAAGGTTAACAGGAGCCTTGAAGGCTATAAAACCACAGGGGAACAAAAAAAAGATCCAATTAAAACTGCACGGGAGGCAGTGAAATCTAACTAGCCAGGGGCTGATTTTCAGAGCAAACTCTCCAGCTGCTTTGGGCAGTTCCAGAAAATGAAGGTGGAAAAGCAGGCACCCCAGGAGCTGGTTTCCTCTCACTCCTAAGCTGCTGGTGAACATGTGTTTTTGAAGCATAAATACCTGTTCCTACAGGTGAGGTGTTTTACACACAGAATTTGTTATTGCTAGTGTGTGCCCCAGTTTGCAGGCGTCAGCTGCAAGTGTAAATATGTAACTCTTGAAAGCTCATGACGGAGAATCCACACTTGCAAAAATATGCAGGTGCAGAATGAAAATAGCCAGGAACCCCTCAAAAAAAAAAAAAAGAAAAAACCCAACCAAAAAAACACCACCAGCACAAACCAGATGACCAAAAAATAAAACTCCCCAGATCCTTTTACTGTGGAAAACCTTTAAAGCAAACTACTTTGTAGATGCTCTTTACCGCAGACTACCGAAAATAAGAGCAAGGAGGGAAACCAGTACAGAACCCCCAAATGACCAGGTTTTGCCATTTTATCCTCATTAATAACTGTTTACGAGCTCCCAAAATAATTCTAAACCTAATGTACCAACTAACCAATTTCAACGTTCACTGGAGTCAAACCGAGAGTCCCACTTGCTTCAGTTACCACTGGCTGGAGGCCTGTTTGGCTGCCTCTAACCACAGTATTACAATATAAGAATTAAATACAGAGCTCGGCTTGCACCAGTCCTTGTTTAGGATATAATCACAGTCACAAGACGAAATTGGCAATGGTGTGGGTGGTTCTATTTTGCAGGGGCCATAATGACGTTCCAGCCAGCTCTGTACATCTGGAATAGCTAATGTGCATTCCTCAGGAAGCGTTAACTTCAGCTGAAACACAGCAGAAGTGGTGCAGTATTCCATGCTAACTCAGTCAGTGAGAAAGGTTGCACACTGCATTGGAGCGGGGAGCTTAGACACAGCTTTGTCATGGCTAAAATTCCCATCAGTGTTTTCTTTGCTGCTCCTTCTTGGCCAAATATTGCTATGATTCACATTGTGACTTTGGGGGGTGCACACAACGACAAGAAAGGCATTACAGTGATGGGGAACCATCGTCCTGAAAGTGTTGCATGTCTGCTTTTGTCAGCTCAGGCCCTTTCTCAAATCACTTCACCATTTTGTATATGCACACACACAATGGCCATTGACCTTTACCATTAATATCCTCAGCACCTTTCCATCTCTTTGTAAAATTTTGTCTTACCAGCCTAGTCATTTCAGCTGCTCTAAGTAGCTGGAAAAGACTCTTTAAAGGATGGTGCATGGACAGTGATGAGCTTACTGAGGGGTTGGCCCACAGAGCTCAGTGCTTCCTATTGCCTTTCGTGGCCGCAGTATCCACACCAAGGCATTACATCTGAGCAGCAGCCGAGCGGAAGGAGGAAAAAACTGCGACAGAGCAGCTCCCACGCATGTCCTTTCCTTTCACTCCTCTGTGAATGCAAATTGTGATAAAGAAACTCCATTTCTCAAACAAGACCAAGTAATCCTTTACGGAAGTTTTCCAAAACCAAAAGTGCACATAGATGACATCCCCTGCCACGATGCTCTACCCGCGCCTTCCCACCAGAGGCAGGTCAGGTTATTCAGGTACAAAACAAGTACTGAATGTAGCCAGGAGGTCACAAAAGACCCATGGCCCAGGTTAAGGTCACTATTTCCTTTTCGTGAGAGTCTGCGTATGTAGTGCTCCATCTGCATGTTGTAGTACTCGCTGATGTTAAAGTCAGTAGGATACTGCACAAAGATACCCCTTAATATCCATGCAACTTCTTATGCTAGGACCATCAAAACAGCCTAAAGGAGTTAGACAGACAGGGTGCATCTCACAGAGTAGCCCCTAAGGGTGGTCTCAAAGTCCAGGCAGTCCCCTACCTGCATGGTCTAGCTATCAGAAAGTCCCTGATGCCAGCCAGCTCTGTGGTACTCATGCTGGTGTGCCCCGAGAGAAACATCAGGTGCACGTATACTTACGGCAGCCCCCTGGCACATGCTTACTGGCAATACAGCGTGGCCACAGGCCCCCAGCCATCCCATCTGCCTTCATGCTGACAGCCTGCAGCAGGGGACATGACCAGGATCCATCCTTATGGGATCCTGCTTGCTGTAAGGTCAGGCAGGTTTGTAGGCATCTGGCTCCCACTGCCTCTGGTGACCGGTCTGTAGCCAATCTGGATGCCAGCTGCAAAATCCCCAAAGTGACTTTGAATTCAGGAACTACGTTGTGAATGCAGCTTCCAGGCAAAGTTTGCTTTCTAAAAGCATGGAGGTTCCTAATTTTGCCAGGTTGACTTAAAAAAAAACACACCTGGGCATAACTCCCTGTGGCTATTCTGAAACCCCTGCTATCACAGTTGCTTGTTGGCCATGTTCACACCTCTGTGTTTGCTTTTGCAAACATTCATGTGTTTGAGTTTTGCTATCATAAATGCCAGAAAAGCAATTACTATAATGTATTCATGCATGGTTCACCTCACCGTAACCCAGAAACGATGCCACCCCAACTAAGTGCAACCAAAAGTCCTAGAAGAAGTAGTCTGTGTGAAAAACATCACCAGAAATCTCAAAAAAATAAATCACATTCATAAGTGTTCCACAACCAGAAAAATGGGAATTACTCGCTTGGCTGTAAAAATCCAGAGACAGGAGCCATTTCCTTCCTCTGGTAAGGATATCTGAAAGTATTTCCATGGAGCAAGCTGTATGTCATGCACACAGAGATAAGACTTCTGCCTGATGCTTAGGGAGAATATGCACATAGCTATGGGGTTATGCACGCTGCTGAAGATACACAAGCAGAGATGCTTGCCAATTCCAAAAGTCTCGGAATAAAAGAAAACAAACAAATGCCTCTCCTCTCTTCAGATTCCTTTTCAGGAAATGAACCACCCTGCAAATAAACCACCACGATTACCTTAACAACCAAAACCGTCTTCTGGAGGATGGAGAAAGCAAGCAACTAGAACAAACTGGAATCAAGTTGGATCCAGCTTCTCTACCTATAACTAGTATTTAAACGCATCTTTTAGGTCATTAAAACTCCCTCAGGATCCAGCATGCCTTATCAAGCATAATTAAGATTTTAACAGGTTGATTAAAAAGATCTCATCAGTGAAGAAGGGCTCTTTCAAACTGAAGGGAGAGGTTTCAGGAGGCATTTCAGTTCTCCCCTTCTCTTACTACACGGGAGCTCAGAAATGTCATTGGCCATAGCACAGTGAGCCCTCCTTAAAGGCTCTAGAGAATGAATTTCTTCCTTAATTCTGCTGAGCATCCAATGATGGTGTTTACATAGCTTCAGTAAGACAGCACATAAAACCTGACACTCTGATTTGGAACATAAAAAACCACCAAATATTAAAAAGGGAGTGCTCCATGAAGGTGTAACACCTGTCACGCAAATCTCAACACAGGATCAAGCCTTTGGGGCTTATTCTTAACAGAACATGCAAAACTTTCCATCAACTTTGGCTGTGCAAAGCCTTTGTGTAAAGAATGGGATCCACCTCTGCCGCTTCTTGGGAAGTTAATCAGGAGGCTGCATCTCAAACGCTATGGACCATTTTCTCCCACTGCCTGTATTTGAGACGATTACGTCGTCTTGCTCTGTCACATGTCTCTGTTCCCGACAGCTTCTCAGTCCTACTTCTTTTTTATACTCATCTGGGCTTCTGGGAACTGCACTGCTCCTAACTAGTTTGCAATATACTGCTGCAAGCCCTTTATTAGAGGCACACATGGCCCCTGTTATGATGAAAAATGCTTCTTTTTAAATGCGCACGTATACTGCTCTATCATCACTCGGTGATAGAGCCCACAAATCTTCAGCTTTGCCCTTCTACAGATTATGAAATAAAAGAGAGGGGAAAAAAAAAAATACATTCTCCACTAGTCAGGAAGGGAATAACGGTGGGAACCAGATTCAAGAACAATATACCCACAGACGGATCTTTACAGAAGAGCAACACAGCCCATCTATCTGGGTTTTCTTTTGTTTGGTTTGGGTTGTTTTGGTTTTTTTTCACTACTTTTGTTGTTGTTTCGAGGATGTATTTTAAATAATCATGGCTGTGGTTCAATTTTTAGGCCTTGAAATGAGTGAAAATTCTCTTTTAGATGAGACATATTTGCACAGAACACAGCTCAGACAAAATGCCACTGTCTCACACAGTCCGAAAAGGCAATAAATAGTACACTAGGGGAGGGATTTCTGGCACCACATATGCCTCAATTATTCAGCTTTACAGGTTAGTTACCCCTACACATGCTTCAGAGTTCAAAATCACTCCTCTCTTCCCAACACCTCGTTTACTAACACTGCCTTTACGCTTATTCTTCTTAACTGCCCCGTTCTCAGCCAACAACCCTTTCAAATCCGTCCCTCTGCTCCTTCAGCCTTCCCCTGGGGAGCCACCAAGCCCAGAGACAACACTTTTAGCTCTTCCTTTGCAATTTGGAGATGCTACCAAGCCGTTCCTACACTTTACAGGCACTTCTGGGGAAGGGACAGGATGGATGACACTTTTTCTTATGACCTACCATTAGACAGTCGGGTAGCTAAAGCAGTTGTCCCCGCTGATGGACCATAGCAGGAGCTCATGGCCAGCAGCTCTGCATCCTAATTTACCAGCTTCCAGCCTCAGGGCTTGTGACAACAAATTGGTACCAATCAGAGCTGGGACCTGTTTCCTTTACAGACTAAAGTCCACCCTGTGGCACCTTGACTTGCAGATAGCCTACAGTTATTTCAAGGGCAACTGAGGCACACTTATTTTTATAATTTGGTAGCCCTTGCTTTGCTATCACATCAGTATTTTCTGCTGACTCTGAGCCCATGCTGCATTGACTCTGGAAGTACAAGAGCTCTTATTGATGGACCCAACCCTAACAGGTTGCCTGTAATGAGAAGGAGCTTGCAAGCACACATGGAAAAGGGTGTGAGCTTGCTAGCCAGTGCACATGGCAGAGCATGCTGCCAAGTCACAGCAAAACACGGGCAGAAGCACAACAAAAAGCTCACCTGCCTCCCTTCTCCCCCTCGCTTTGATGCTCAACTCCACCCTGAACTTGTTCCCAGTGGATGTCCCGCGAGCGATTCCCCTATGGCGGTTCCTTTACCCTTTCCCACAAGGAGGGCTACTCACGTGGCCATGCTGATCCAGCTCGTTGTTGGTGAGTTTGACTTTTTCGAAGGACACCATCTGCTTCAGCAGTTGCTCTCCCGTGAACGGGGAGTCAGGGTGCACGTACAACCTAAAAAACACGGGGAAAAGGCCTGCTCATAAAAAACCCTCTCACCTCTTGGCCTGTGCGTGGGCACCATTTCCATATGAAATTAAAAAGCCCATAACATCTTGCTTTTGGGCTATGCAGTGGTTTCATGGACGTGGATTTCCTGAGAGCTTCGGGTAATACAGAACTGCTACTTGAACAAGACACACACAATCTCCCCCAAATTAATGAATGCCTGAAATAAAACCATTAATGAAAGACAGTAAAGCAGATGACTTGAGCTGTTTAATTCACTGGAATGTAATGGAATCCCATGTCCAAGTGCTAGATTGCTCTCTAACCATACCTATTACTTTATCTTGTTATCTGAAATGGAGACATTAACTAACATTCGCTGTTGTGTCTTTTCCCAAATGAAAAATTGATCGTGTCTTTCCCCACAGCTGTACTAACAAGCACTTAAAATAACAATGACTACAGCTCAGAGAGAAAAAACATGGTGTCATTAGAGAGATTACGGGGGAATGTAGATAAAAATGCATTTTTCTTTATATGTAACATTAAGCCGTGATAATGATTTTAACCTGCACTCGATCACACATTCGCTGTGGTGACGTCTGTTTATAAGAGGTTGAAGACTGCAGTCCAGCACAGTGGTCTGACATGGAAAAATTAATTGCAGCTCTGTAATTAACAATCCACCACTTGGGAAATTAAGCAGAAGAAAAGGAAGCACAGAAGACATGTAGGTACAATGATATGTATATATTATGACTAGACTAATTACAAGTGCCAGGCTATTTAAAAACCAATGATTTTATAGGAATAATGTATTCCTAAAAATTATTTAACTCAAACGTTCTATTGTGATAGTGAATTAAGAGCTGAACTAGACCTTCAGCTAGTGCAAACCAGACCTATTCTGCTTCTGTCGGTGTTGGTTATCACTCGCTGAGGGCCTGACTCGCATTTTGGGTGATGTCTTTGGCCACACAGATGGATTTCTTCCATTAGATGGGTGGGGCAGCGCTGAGATGCTGGGTTAGAAAGATAAACATTTTTTGTTGTTGTTGAGCTATGATTTTGGTTAGGCAAGAGGAGAATGGAAAAACCACTAAACGATGGGGCGTAACTCTCTGATAGACTACCCTGATTCCTAATCAAGAAATGCCCGTACTACAGACTCCAGGGAGCGCAGCTCTGTTGCTCAAAGAGGAAGGAGATTTGATCCTGCACTCTCCATTTTTGCCAGCAAAATCCCCAAGATGCAGCGAAACTAAAGTTTTACCAGCACAGCTCGCTTCAGATGTGCAAGATGTTTTCCTTACATTGATCCAAAGCACAGCTTGGCTGGTATAGCTATGTCCACGGGAGGGATGCTGAGCCAGGATTCTTATCATAATAAAATATTCCTAGCATACAGGCGTCCTCACTGATATCAACTCTGCTGATTGCACTGCAAGGCTCATGAAAAATTATGATGTATCTGAAAACCCAAGACCTGGAATCCTGTTATGTCAAAAGAATTTTACCTCTCATGAAAATGAACTTTGCCTTCCTGTAAAAAATTATGAAAATCTCAATCTTTAGAGCCCTGAATTAGAGAAGACAAAACAAAAAGAGCCCCAAACATGTCTTGCAACTTTTCAGCCAGTCTTGTGATTTTTTTTTTGGAGCCTGACTCCTAATTTTGAATGTCTGGGTAGCTAATAATGTTTACTGTGATCACGGAGTGTCAGGCTCAGCAAGGTTTGGCTAATCAGGACCAAAAAGCCAAACTATTTCAAATATGTGCTAGGGAATGAGTAAAGCTCTTCATGTGTCTAAAAGCTGAGCACGACTGTTTTACACCATAGCCAGTTAATGCTTGGCACTGCTTTCAAACTACAAAGTGCCTGGATGTTAGGAGAGTACTAACGGGAAAGTCACTGAAGGATGGGTACCTGAATATCAGTTACATAAATGTATTAATAGACCTCGTTTTTCTTCATTGATTTGCTACACGCCGTCAAACCCACTGCAACACGTGGTTCCCCCTGGTGAACTACACCTATCCACACACTTCTACAGTCTGAGCTTGTACGCCCTGGAGAAGAGGGTTGAAAACTAGGCGTATCACCCTCTGAAGGAGAAGTCGACGAGATCGCAAGCGCGCACAAGCAAACGGGTTAGAGAAATAAACGTGCACATTCCAGCGCGGCACACGAGGCTCCCCGAGAAGTTCACGCGGACTCTGCTGCCTAAGGCCAGCCAGATGCGAGGGGCTGCTCGCTTCAATTCACAAAGGCTTCAAGAGCCATATTTGGATGTGAATTTGCTCCACAGGATATAATGCTTCATGATAGATGCAAGGTTTGGGTACTGCTTCCTTCTTGCATATTTTGGAATGCAACACTGCTCTCCTATTTAGTTTAACAGTTGGTCTGGTCCTACAAGCCCTGTGCATGCCGCTTTTACTTACCTTAATGTCTCAGACAATTTGCAAAACATAATACCTTTTAAAGGTTTCCTACCTAGAGTTCTCTGTGAGTGCATAAATGCTATAACTTTATTATACAAATGATTGTAGCCCAATACAATAAAAAAATATAAAAAAAAGAGACAGACTTCTGAGTGAAAGAAAGGAGGTGAAAAAGGAAGGAGAGCGAATAAAGCTAAATGCTGAAACTTATTAAACTGATGTTTCACACAGTCTTAGCAATTTGGAAGAACAAACATAAAATATCATATAGGAATTCTATCCCCAGAGAGCACTTTAGAAGATTTACAGAAGACTCTCTAAGAAGTATTTTTATTTAAGTGTTCGTTGCAACATAAACTTGTCTTAAACATTGACAGCCGGAAGACAGGGATAAAACTGTTTTTTGTAGAAAGTTCCCTGAAGGGCAAATCTTTCAAATGGAATCACAGAACAGTTATTAATTTTGAAAAAAGCTGTCTTAGCGTTGAAAGTTATTTTTATGATGGAAAGAGCAAAACACCTAACGGGTTCAGTCCTGCAAAGTCTTACACCCATGCATAAATAATTCCCCCGATGCCGCTGTGCCTATGCAGATGCAGGCAGCGATGTGCATGGGGAGTCAGCACCTTGCTGCTAGCACCCAGGTGCTAAGCACGCCTATGCTCCTCGCTGACACTCCTCAGGCAAGGAGAGCTAAAACCATGTGTTTGGGGGACAAGAAATCACGAGCGATAACTTCATTAAGGGCTCCTGTTACTAGAGCAGGACCAAAGCCATTTCGCGTTGGGAGGAGTACTACTTTTAATCTGTTCGAGCAAGACTGAGGCTTCCCACCTCAAAAGATGCATTAACGCTCCAAAAAAAGCACTAGTAATGCAAACATCGGTACGCTGAACCTCTTGCCATCCTTTTTCTCACCAAACGGGAGCAAAAGAAGCAAGAAGTGCATAAACGTATATGCACGTACTGTTCATACAAAGAAAAAGTGATCTATGCCTGTGCTATGATCAATGGTCTTTTGGTTAAGCATCCTGAAAATGAAACGGGAAAAGTACATGTTTGCACACAGGGGCAAAACACGCTGAAAACAGCCTGAAAATGAAACAGCACAGGTATACATTTGCACATAGGGGCATGGACTCGATGAGCACCTTAAAGAGCTACCACAGTATGATGATAATTAATATTAAACTCCAAGAAAGTTTGACCCCCAGCTCTAAAACAGTCAGTGGGGCAGTTGCTAATTATTCCAAGGATCAGTCTCTTGTCTTACACTCTTGTGTTTCCTCGTTGAACTAGTCTATGCCAGATAGTGTGAACTGGCCATCTATTTAAAGGTATCCCAAAAGGCACTTGAACAGAAAAATAAGAAGGGGAAAACCCTGCTTTAAAACTATTTCTGTCCTTCCCTTATTTCTTCTTTTGATGCTGACTCTTTTGGAGCAGGATCTGTGTTTTTTTCTTTGGGTTTTGATCAGTGCCCATTACAATACGTCAAATGAAGCCCTCGGACGTTAACCACATTGCAAGAAAGAGTTTTTGGCCATGAAAACAAAGCCGACATAACTCCTAGGTTGCTGTCTTTAATCACAGCTTCTCTGCATGCACTTTTTGTTTGTTTACTTCCCTGAGCCGCCTTCCAGAGATCAGCAGTCAGCAAGATTTCAGTCAAAGTATTTATATGAGGAAAGCATGCAGGATTTGGTCCCTATACTCACACACACAAAAAAAATGTGCTTCCATTTCTCGTGTTTCACTTCTGATTTCTGACTCTGTAATAAGCAAGTTCTTAACCCCGGGCTAAGCCACCTGGAGCGGATCTGTGTGCCTGCGCAGAGCCTTCCACCAAAAGTTTCTTTGAAGCCAGAGAGGCATCCAGGTTATTTCCATATCCCCGGCTCTGACTCAGCAAAGCCGTTCGACATGTGCTTCAGCCTTACTGGACTTGGGGACTTAAGTAGGCACTGAAGTGCTGGGCTGAATACGATGAAGTGTGGGTCTCCGCTGAAGTGCCCTCCTACCGTACAGCCTAGTGCTGTAGCCTCAGTTTCCCAATGCTGAAAGGAGTCAGTTATTCTTTACATTAACAGAATGATTTTAGAAATTAATTTTCCACAGTATTTTGTTTCTGTGTAGAAAAGGGTGGGAATTTACTTGATTTTTTTCCTAACGTCTCAGAAAATGGCATGATTTCTTAATTAAAAAAAATCCTCTGTGCTGTAGAACTGATCCGTACTTTGCCTGCTGTCTAAGAGACAACTAAAAGCAAGAATAAAATTATTGGTTAGCAAATGCTGGATATGTTAGCAACAAATAATATCATTTCAGGCATAAACAGTGCTGAACTGTAATGTAGTATTTCTACTTGGACTTAGCTGGTGGTGCTTGGATAGCTTTAAATTATGAGGTCAAATACCAGGGGAGGGCAAACCCAAGAGAAAAATTAATATCTTCTTTTTTTTTTTTAAAGCTTTATCTGAATTGAGGCAAACTTCATTAAAAAAAAAAAAAAAAAGAAATATATATGTATATAAGAGCCTTTAGCCAAATCCTGCATGCCCTGGAACATTCAGCATAAATCAAACCTCAAGCAGAGATTTGAGGCCCAATTCTGCATCACAGAACAGAGTTTTGCCATCAACTTTGTTGAGTATGGACTCAAAGTCTCAGAGCAGTGTTTGCAAACAGCGTGAAAAAGATTAACAGCAGGTATTTCTTGAAGTAAAAGAAAATGTACAGTAAAGAAAATAAAAGAAAGACGAGCAGTAAAATCTACAAACCTTGCAGGGAGCGGAGGGTCAGCTTTTCCAGCCACTAACCAGGAAGACCTGTGGTAGGCATATCTATATCTTTTATTGTCCACAGGAACTATATCCATTAACACAATGTACTTGGCTTCAGGATCCACTCCCGAGAAGGAAACCCTGATAGTAGGAAACATTCTCCTGAAATAAAGGCAAATCAGAAAATAAACACGTGGATGGAGAACAGAAGTAAGAGAGCTTCTGAGAAGCTGCTAAAATTAAGAATTATATTTAAGCCACCTGAAAAACATTAAAGCATCTATTGATTCTGCTTCAGCATGACAGAAGTTAAAGCCTGAGTATCTCCAATACACACAGAAAGGGCAGCTTGAAGTCAGAACGATTTTTTGGAAGCAAAAAGAAAAAAGGGTAAAAGTGAAAAAGGAGAAATGTACTTTTGCCTGTTAGTTAAAAGTACACAACGATTTCAGGAAACAGTTGTACCTAAGGTACATAAGTCCTTAGAAACATGGATTTTTTTTTTTTTTTTATGGGATCCATACTAGCGTTAGGGAAATATTGCAGAAATTATTTCCGTTGATATTCTCACATATTTTAGATGCATGTTCTTTTAAGCCTGCTCACGATGTTTCTGAGAGGAATTTTCAAAACTAAACTTTCCTTTCTTCACTTAAATTTTGACAAAACGCAACTTTAAAGTGTAAGGTTTTGCCGTAGACCAGCAATAAAGTTAAAAAACTTTAAACGCATTACAAATTTGAACTTCAAACTGCAGATTTTGTGTGTCTTTTTTTTTTTTTTTTTTTAAACACATGCTGGTAGAGCTCGCTAGTTAGGAAAAAAAATCATCAGGGACCTACTTTAATAACAAGTAACTTTGGGGATTACAAAACCCGACAAGACATTTGGCTCCTCCGAAATGCGTTTGAGTGACCCGAAGCCTTACTGAAGAAACGGCCTGATTTGAGGTGACGAGAAAGCCTGGGATTCTTTTGCACATTTTTTGCAACCGAGAGAAAAGCAAACCAAGCCAAACCCCGGCGGTATTACTTCCCCACCACCCCGCATGTCCCCGTGTCCGTACCAACCCAGCCCCGCAGAACCCCCGCGCCGCACGACGGAGCTGTTAGCCGCAGACCGAGGGATTCGGGACATTTCTGCCCGGCCGCCGGGAGCCCCCGCTTGGATTCCGGCCGCGCCGCGCCGCGCCCCGCCGCCGCCCCTCTCCCTCTGCCCCCCGCGGGGCTCCGCGCCCCGCACCGACAACTAAGGGGCTTCACCCTCCTCCTCCGCTTAGCCCATCCCCGCTGCTCTCCCAAAATAAAAACTATGGGGTTTTGTTTGTTTTCCCTTTTTTCCGCCCTC